TCCTTTTCCCCCCTCTTATTCTCTACTGTGTATATAGACTTTTGAGTTTTAATTGTTATTAATAAAAATATTTCTAAATTGTAAAATAAAATTCATGTAAAGTATAAATAAATAGCTTTTAGGAATTTGTTATAAATTTTATTTTTTTTATTACATGCATGGACTAATTTACGGAAGTTTCACTTTCTTTTATTCTCAATTTTATAAATAGATTGTGTTTTGATTGTTATTAATAAAATTATTGATACGGGCAACTTATTTATTGTATTTTATTTTCTCAATTTCTTATTATCGAATACCATTATGCTTGATTACTACTTCTCATTTTTCTTTCCAAAATAATATTTATTTTTTACTGATAAGTTCATAATATAGATTAAAACAAAAAAGTATATTAAAAAGAAAGAGAAAAACATTGTAGAGGGTAAAATAGGCATTTTAAAAAGTTAACTTTAATGTGAGGATGATAATGATTATTGTTCAAAATTGAAGGATGTGTTTGATTTTCAATGCAAGCTTGGGGATGTAAATGATTTTCACCCATAGTTTTCCAATACCTTAAATCTAACTACCAATATTTGTTGAATATTTAATAAAGATTAAAAGTGTGAACTTTGGACAAACTTGAAAGATCAAAAATACTTAGGGGTATATTTAAGGGTCACTTTTAGACTTACTCCTAAATTTAAAGGCTTATTTTTATCATTAACTCTAAAGTTTAAACGTATATTAAAGACAATGTGGTGTCCTTGTGAAGTATACTTTAAAATTTATAAACATTTAAAATTTTGAATTGACAGGAGTGCACTAAACAATAAACCAACTATTTCGCTCTAGAGAAAAAAAAAAAAAGTTTCTTCCAGCTCTCATTGAGACGCTTATTCCACACCTGGATTTGGAATATTAATTGGATGTAATTTTATTTATTTATGGAAAAAACTTCGTTTTTAAATACTACTTTTTAGCAAATCTAACTTAGCCATACAAAATTACCTCAACATAGATATACTTGAAAGTGACAAATCCAAAAAAGTCCTTAAAAGTAGTATATGCAAAGTTGATAGTACTCTGCATTAACTTTCATTTTCCACATTACAAGAGCCAAAGTAGCATATGAATAAAAAGAGGACCACATTAACTAATGTTACAACCTTTTTTTATTTTATTTTATTTTTTACAAAAGAGCAAATATCCTATCATAAATTGATTATATACAATTACTCTGCATCACCTTTGAGTGTTTGACATGGATTTTTACATTACAATTGTTGCATTGACTTTACTCAGACTGTTAGACTAAAAATAAATCCGGCAATTTATTATGACTATATTCAATGAAGAATCAAACAATTCGTACCTGCAGTAGAAAAACATTTCTATCAAAGTTGTAGCTCAAAAATATGTCTTAGTGAATTTGTTTAGCATATATGTCATAAATAGCACAAATTAATAATAAAGGAGTACTTTGTAATAGCAAAAGTTGCAATGGACAAGTCGGAGTAACCAAATATACTCGGAGCACGTTTGGCCATGAAAATTTTTTCACTTTTTTTTGGAAAATTTTCAATTTTTTTTTTCAAAATAAGTGTTTGGCCATAATTTTTAATTTTCATTTGAAGGTGAATTTTAGAATTTTTCGAAAATTTAAAAAATTCTAAAAAATTATTTTTCAAAATTTTCACTCACATCACTCACAAAAAAATCAAAATTTTACAATTCTTATGTCCAAACGCCCAATTAGTATTCGTTGTGGAAATGCCATCAGGTAGTCACTTTTAAGCATATTGTTTAAAAAATATTCACAATTTATAATATATTTAAAGATTAGTCAATTTCGCTCAAACTTCAGGACACGACGTCCTAGAGTTTAAACCTCAAAGTTCAAACTTTAGGACATCGTGTCTTAAAATTCGAAAATTAACTCCACAAGTTCGAATCTTATGTCCTTAATTTTAAATTAGTAGTTCAAAAATTCAGTACACTTAGTCTTGAATTTCAAATTAGCAGCTCAAAAATCCAAGACACTAAGCGCCCGTTTGGCCATGAATTTTTTTTTCACTTTTTTCGATTTTTTTTATACTTTTTTTCGAAATCAGTGTTTGGCCATAAAATTTTCAATTTTCACTTGAAGATGAATTTTGAATTTTTCAAAATTTAAAAAATTACAAAAAGCTGTTTTTCAAAATTTCACTCAAATCACTCACAAAAACTCAAACAAAATTATATTCATGTCCAAACATAACTCTAATTTTCAAATACCATTTTCACTTGAAAAAGATTTTTTTTTTTTTTTGAAATTTTACAATTCTCATGTCCAAATGCCTACTAAGTCCTGAATTTTTCAAATTCAGGATATTTATTAGTCCTGAAGTTTGGGTGAATTTGGCTAATCTTTGAATACATTGTAAATTATGGATATATTTTAAATAGCGGGCTTAAAAGTGGCTATTGCTGCCTTCGCCCGTATTCGTTTGGTTCGTTTGGTTCCGGGATTAAGATATTAATTTAAGTATTAAATTTGAGATTGTATTTATTTCCTTTTAGTTATTCAAATAATTAATATCTTTATAAATTTATATCAAAATCTTAATATTAACTATTTCACTAGGATGCGAGATTATAATTCTGGAATAACCTCATTTCGAATTAAACAAACCCTTAGGTGTCATTTGACATGATGGATAAACAAAATTAATTTTGGGATAAAAATTTAGTAGCGCCTTATTCCTTGTTTGGTTACTAATCCTATGATAAATTATCCCAAGATTAAAAAAATAGAAGAATTAACCCAAATAGCCGCTCACCCAACCGTTTAAAAAAAAAAGCCGGTGGATGTATAATATATGCATAATTTATGTATTATATGTGAATAATTATGTATAATCAATGTATAACTATGTATATGGCTAGAAAGAGTAAATGATAAATGTGGCTGGCTATTTGGGTAAAAATCCCATAAAAATAGTACTAGATAACTTATACATGCCAGATGTGAAAAGTAATCCTAGGATAAAATACTCTCCCCGTCTCATATTAACAGTCGTGGTTACTAAAAATAGTTGTCTCAAATTATTTGTCACTTTAGAAGTTCAAGACAAAATTAATTATCTTTTTTTTTTACCCTTAGTAATAATTATTTTTGAAGACTACAAACACCTAACTTTATTCAAATACCAATGAAGAAAAATTAAATATTAAGACATGAATAAGGATAAAATAATCAAAATTTTATCCTAATTAATTTTTCTTAAAGGGCGTATACAAGATAATCATGACAAATAATATAAAACGGGGGAGTAGTAAAATTAACGATCTTAGAATTAATATAACTTACCAAATAATCAATAATTAATAATTCAAAGATAACTAATCATGACATAACTAATCTCAATACAAACTTGTCTTCTAACCAAATAACCCCTCAATATACTTAACATGTCAATTGTTGCCGAAAACTGTCGCTTATCAAATGAACATCAATACAGCTAATCCATAAAGTCAAAGAATGAAACTTTAAATTCTTTTTATACAGAAATTACCAATAAATATGTAAAAGAAATGAACTCCACATTTTTTATCTTGTGAGTTTGTGACATATAATTCTCTAATTTTCTTCTACTCAATAGTCATTGTCGTCATTAATGAGGGCAATAAGGTTAAAAATATAGCAGTGATAGTGATGGTCTACAGTCCATGAAGGGTCAATCGGACGAGAGTTGTTCATATCCGTTATTTTTGTAATTTTAATAAATTTTTATAAATAAATTTTTAAACCGTGTCGAAAGTTATGAGTTCAGTTAAACTCGTTAGTTGTTCACTACATTCGCCTCTGATTATACTTCTCGTCCTATTTTTTTGTGATAATCTTTGGCTTGGTACAAAGTTTTAATTCTTTTTTTTGAAATTAGTAGTCTAAAACAATTCTTATATATTTGTGTGGTTATAAATCATCTCATTAAAGAGTCGATTGGTTGGGAAACAAGTTATCCCATGATTAATTGTCCATCCTTCCATAGGGATAAAAATAACATTGCAATTCCGGGATAACTAATTCCAAAATTAGTTATACCGTAATTTTATCATAACCAATCATGGGATAAACTCTTTAATCCTCAACTCAATTATCATTTATCCCTCGTACCAAACGAGTATATAATAGAAACGAGCCCTAAGGGTATCATTTGATCATATTAACGGTTCCTAAGATAAACCCCTTTCCTCGCTAGCAGAAGAAGGTTAAAAAGAACAATAGCCTGTTTGGCCAAACTTGTAAAATATGCTTATTTTGAGAAGTATTTTTTACAAAATTACTTTTCAAAAAAGTATTTTTGGTGAGAATCGATTTGTGTTTGGCTAATTAATTTAAAAATCACTTTTGAACAGTAATTAGTGTTTGGCCAAACTGTTGAAAACTGCTTCTAAGTGTATTTTTCTCAAAAGTATTTCTGAAAAAAGTATTTTAGGACACAAGTTATATTTTCTATTTCTCAAAAACGGCTTATGCTTCTTCTCAAAATTACTTTTTTTTCCTTCTAAAAGCTTTGTCATACACCTTAATTTTTGGCCAAAAGTATTTTTGGTCCAAAAAAAGTTGGTCAAATAGGCTAAAATAGTAGAATTTTTTTTTTTGGTAAGAGGAAAAAATCGCAACCGCTACAATCTCTGCCACAACTTCTGTCCTTCGGGTGAGCACTGATAAATCTCCCCTGTGTAATAGCTTGCAAACCACACAGGAAATATAAACCGCACTAAATAAATCTTTTGCGACAGGCTCAACCAAGAATACATCGAGAGGGAAATGATCGTAAGTCAAAATCAACCAGACAACCCGAAGGGTTGAAAAAAAAAAAACCCAAAGAAAAGTTAATAGTATGTATATTAATCATAAGTACATACTCCTATTAAGCACCCATTTTAAGTTTCACCTCAATGGTCAACTTTGCTAGGCCACAGCCACAGACAGAGAATATAAAACCCAAGAAAAGGAAAAACACATTATATACATAAAATATTATTTATCCACCAAAGAGAGAGAGAAGGAATAAACAAGAGAGAGAAACAAAAGGCCATTTCTGAAAAAGGTTCTTTGTAAAGAGAGCTAAAAGAAAGAGCACATTAGAGTTGTTTACATATAGAGTGAAAGAAAGATATAGTGTGTGTGTGTGTGTCTGGGAGGTGTAGTGTAGAAGAGGGGGCAATTTAAAGTAAAATTGCAGCATTTGGTCTCTCCCTTCCTTAACATCCCCTTCTTTTTCCAAAGCTTCCTTTGTCCCCCCAACTAAACCCACCCCACCCCCTTTTTTCTCTTTCTTCCTCTTTTTCCGGCCACCCCTTTTCGCCGGAAAACACACTCCCTTCTTCCCGCCGGCCACCACCACTCTTTTTCTTCTTACCTCAGAGAAGCATAGTATAGTGCAAAAAGATTCTGTTTTTGATCTATTTTTGTGTTGCCGGAGTTTGGTGAAGTGCAGCTCCGATGAATCTCCGGTGAGCATATCTGGGCACTTTTTATGTTTTTAAGCTGAAGAAAATAAGCATAAAGGGAAAATGAAAACGCCGGGGAATACAGCCGGAGCTCAGCAGGCTGCTGCCAACGTTAATCCTGCCGAAGGTCTGTCACTATCTTTACATATTATACATATTAATAAATATACTATTATTTATATATTTATATAGAGAGAGCGACATACAAAAATATACGTACGTATATACCTTTCTCTAGTAGTAATAAGCAGATATTGTTAGAATAAAAAAGACAAGGCTATATCTCTTTCTGGGCTTTTGTCTATTCTTTTCTTCCATCCCAATGAAATTTTCCTGGAAAATATTTTTTTCCTTTCGGTTTTATTATATGCTTTTTCCCTCAATGACATCCAAACTATGCATTACACCTCTGTTGAAGAAAGCAAATGGTATTTTCTTGGAAAAGTTTGATTCTGGGTGAGAAAGTGATAAAAATCTTTACTTTTTCCATAGTCTTTCAATCTAGCAAGAATATAAAGGGTTGAATTTTATGGAAATAAAGGTGTATTGATTAACAATTAATGGTGGGGCAATATAATAATTTTTTTTATTTTTTTTGCAGGTGAAAAGAAGAGCATAAACCCAGAGCTATGGCAGGCCTGCGCCGGACCTCTGGTTAACTTACCGGCCGCCGGGACCCACGTCGTCTATTTTCCTCAAGGCCACAGTGAACAGGTCTCCTACTTTTTATATCCAAGTGACTGGCTTAATAATTTTTTTTTTTAATTAAAGCTCATAGAAGGATGTGGTTTAATATCAGTAGAGGCAAAAAAGAAAGTTGGTGATTTCTTTTTATTTATCTAAGTATTAATGATAATAAAGTTATATTTGCTAATAAAAGATATTATGAATAGTTGAGGTGCGCATAAAAAAGTTCTGTATGCGGCTATTTGCTAACGTGAACCAATATGGTGCACGTTATTGCCCTTCACCTTACTTATGTCAGGCTGCAGATGTGTATGGGGTAACATTATTGTTGATTTTGATAGTAGAATGCATTGTATTTATTTATTTATTTATTTTTCTTGTCCATGTTCTAGTAGGAGTAATTTACTTTTTTTATTTGTGGATCACATCTTATTTTTTCTTTCCACCTCTATTATGGTATCTCTGGAGTAACATGCACCTTGTGTCAGTATGTGTAGTTGTGATCTTTATCAAAAATTTGTTATTTGTTGTTTGTTTTGTTGGCTTATGCATATGCTTACATGTGCACGTGCATATATATATATATATATATATATATTTGCCACACGGTTTTTAGAAAAAGAACAAAGATGAAAAGATTGGAAAGGCATCATCTTTAGTACCTTTGACTATCATTTTGCCTATTAGCAGTTAGTGGGGTTGTTATGAGGAAAAAAGGGAATAAAAAATGTAACCTTTATGGCTGGGTTAAAGTGGCGTTTGCTTTAAAAAGGGAGAAATTTAAAAATAGACAGATTTACAAGTGATAATTGAAAAATAGCCACAGTTTCAAAAGTAATCGAAATTTAGCCACTTTTCATGTAAAGATAAATTTGAACGATAATAATGTTCAAAATCCGAAAAATATTCTAGCATAATATACTGGAATTCCAGTATAATATACCCGTCCAGCATAATATGCTGGAAGTTCATACACAGGTGCTCCAATCTCAAGTATATTATGCTGTAACTTTCCGCGTGTTGGAGTTCCAGCATACTATGCTGGAAGTTCATACACAGGTGCACCGATCTCCAGTATATTATGCTGGACCGGTCCGTGTTTCAGCAAAATAGAGGCTATTTTTCAATGACTTTGCAAACGGTGGCTATTTTTGAATTACCAGTCCGAAAACTGGCTAGCCCGTGCTATTTTTTACCTTTAAAAAAGTTTGAAGAAAATTTTCCTTATCTAAAAAATATTTCATAAATTCTTTTTAGACCTTAATGATGAGGAAGAAAATGATCCAAGTTTGTGGTCTAGCGGTAATGAAATGGAAAAAAAAAATCATGGGTGACCAAGATTTAAATTCCGGAGAGACAAAAAATGCTTGGATTTCTTCATATTTGACTCAGTTTTGGTAGACAGAGTTACCCAATACTCGTTCCTATGGAACAATTGAGGTACGCGCAAGCTCGTCCGGACGTGACCGTTATTGAAACAAAAGATTATGTGGAAGAGAACAAGAAGGAAAATTGGAAAATAGTAAGAAAGAAATGAAAAGTTAGCACTAATTGGAGTGCAGCAATGGTGAAGTGCCTTTTCCTTTTATTCAAGTTTTGATTACTTTCAAGAAATTCTTTTGTGCTGGAACTGAAGTAGTTGCCATATTTTAGCTAGTGTAGTATGGTTATATGGTTAAGATTAGTTTTTATATGCAGAGTTAGTCATGGGTCTAATTTGTTTCTCTTGCACTTAAAATTTTCAGGTTGCAGCATCTATGAAGAAAGATGTAGATGCCCAAATACCAAACTACCCAAATCTTCCATCAAAGTTAGTTTGTCTCCTTCACAATGTTACCCTACATGTATGTATTTTCAGACTTCACTTGCCTTAATGCAAACTTGTTTTTTCTTTTGAAGTCTCTGCTGCTCAACAATAATCAAATGTATTTTTTTGTCACTAGGCTGATCCGGAAACAGATGAAGTTTATGCACAAATGACACTGCAGCCAGTTCCTTCAGTATGTCCCTTCCTTGCTGTGTCTACATTTAAAGGCGATTATTTCGTATACTCAACAAATTCTTCTTTCTTTTGAGAATGAGGGTCTCATTTATAGTATATTCCAATTGAATGTAACACTGATTTAGTTAACCTTTGGTCTTGTGCAGTTTGACAAGGAGGCACTGTTGAGATCAGATTTGTCTATGAAAACGAATAAACCGCAAACAGAATTTTTCTGCAAGACCTTAACTGCCAGTGATACGAGCACACATGGAGGCTTTTCTGTGCCTCGACGTGCTGCAGAGAAAATATTCCCGCCTCTGGTAAGAGCACATGAAAATTTGTCATTTGATGCTTTTTGGTTGTTTCTCTATCTTTTGTGTGATAGGCTTGGTTGTTCATTATCAGGATTACTCGATGCAACCACCTGCCCAAGAACTTGTGGCTAGAGACTTGCATGATAATGTGTGGACCTTCCGCCATATTTATCGTGGTAAGTTTGTTTATTTGCTATATATGGATATACTACTCCAAGCATTGCCAGATAAAATTGCCTTGTTTCCTATCCCTTACCTATCTCTGGTGATCCAGGGCAACCCAAACGCCATTTGCTAACAACGGGGTGGAGCCTATTTGTCAGTGGGAAGAGGCTTTTCGCTGGTGATTCGGTCTTATTTATTAGGTAATGATACTGGCAATGTCATGCCACCTTGAATGTTATATCTCATTTTTTTGTGCATTTGAGGAAATAGTAATTGTAAGTATAAACTGATGATTGAAATAGAATGCTAAGTGAGATTCATAAAGGGAACCAACTCAGCTGTTGGATTCTCTTTGGTTCGTTCATAGATTCATAAAGGGAACCAACTCAGCTGTTGGATTCTCTTTGGTTCGTTCATATGCTTCGGTCATCCTTAACGCTCTTCAATCTATGTCTACAGGGATGAAAAGCAGCAGCTTCTACTCGGTATTAGGCGAGCAAACAGACAGCCCACAAACTTATCATCATCTGTGTTGTCAAGTGATAGCATGCATATAGGTATCCTAGCAGCGGCAGCCCATGCAGCTGCAAACAATAGCCCTTTCACTGTGTTTTATAACCCAAGGTCAGTGAACTTACTTTCTTAATAGGCATATGCATTTCTTATAGCAATTTATCTATCCTTGATCTTGATGATCTTAAAAATTTTAAACCTCTATATGAACAGGGCAAGTCCGTCTGAGTTTGTCATCCCTTTAGCTAAGTATTACAAGGCAACTTATAGCAGTCAAGTATCGCTTGGCATGCGGTTCCGCATGATGTTTGAGACAGAAGAGTCAGGAACTAGAAGGTATATGGGCACAATTACCGGCATCAGTGATTTGGATCCGGTGAGGTGGAAGAACTCACAATGGCGCAACTTGCAGGTACAGTTTTCTAACTGGTAATTTGACTGTTTTATCTTTACTTAAGGAATGTACTAACCCTTCACGCTTGTGAATTGTGATTAGGTTGGTTGGGATGAGTCAACTGCTGGGGAGAGGCGTAACCGGGTCTCAATTTGGGAGATTGAACCTGTAACAGCACCGTTTTTCATCTGTCCTACTCCGCCATTCTTCAGGTCAAAGCGGCCAAGGCTACCTGGAATGCCAGGTATGAGGAATTTGACAACCAGAATATGACTTTCAATTCTGATGATATCTTTTGACATTGTTGGATAACTGTAGAAGATATCACTTATTGCAGATGACGATTGTTCTGATCTGGATGGCCTATTCAAGAGGACAATGCCGTGGCTTGGTGATGACTTTGGGATGAAAGACCCGCAAGGTCTTCCAGGCCTGAGCTTAGTCCAATGGATGAACATGCAACAGAACCCTTCAATGCCGCAGCCAAACTACCTGCATTCTTTGTCTGGTTCCGTTCTACAGAATGTCGGAAGTGGAGCAGACCTCTCACGTCAGTTAGGTCTACCTGCAGCACCTCAGCTTCCTCAGCACAACACCTTACAGTTTGGTACCCAACGGCCAAACCAACAAGGTCAGATGCCAGCTACCACATTGAGCCCTGTAGGATCCATTATGCAGTCGCAGCAGCAACAGTTGTCGGATATCAGTCAGCTACCAAGACAGAATCCAATCAACCAATCCGTGCCTACAAACCAAGTTCAGGCCCAACTTTTGCAAGCGCAGAGTCTTGTGCAATCTCAGAATGTCCTTCAGCAACAACAATCACTTCAAAACCAGCTGCAGAGGAACCTTCCTCAGCAGCAACAGATTATGAATCAGACTCAGCAGCAGAGTTTCATGCCATCTCAGCCTAGCGATCCACTTAGCCAACAGATGCATTTCTCTGATAACCAATTACAGTTGCAGCTTTTGCAGAAGCTGCATCATCATCAGCAATCACTTCTAGCTCAACAATCTGTATTGCAACAACAATCCCAGCTTGGGCCAATCCAGGATCAGCAGAAGCAGCTCTTGGATGTATCACAGAACTTTTCCAGGTCGCTTGCAACAAGCCAAATGCTGGATATGTCTCAAACCACGTCCACCTCCACGTCGCTCTCCCAGTCGCAAGTTGTCCAGCAGCAAATGACTAGCCAATCTAATTTTCGTTTTTCCCAGCCAAATCAGCAATCAAAACTTCACCAGCAACCTGGAATTCTACCAGAACTACCTGGACAAGTTGGTCAGAATCTACCACCGACTACTAATCAGCTTTCCACAAACTGTAGTAGCTTATTAACAGGAGCTGCAGGTGGAGGCCAGTCGGTGGTTACGGATGACGTCCCATCATGTTCCACTTCACCATCCACGAACAACTGTCAAAATGCGGTTCAGCCAATTATGAGTGGTAGGATTCATCGAGGCACAGCTGCAGGGGATGAAGCAACCCAGTCTTCTGTACCCCTTTTGAATTCCAGTGGATTCGAAGCTATGTCCACTAATAGCAATCTAATTAAAGATTTGCAGCACAAATCTGATGTGAAGCCCTCAGTGAACATCTCCAAGAGCCAGAACCATGGATTTTTGGCTCCTCAAACCTACCTTCACACTGCAGCGCCCCACATGGATTATCTAGATAGTTCATCTTCAGCAACCTCAGTCTGCTTTTCTCAAAATGATGTCCAGTTACAGCAGACAATGAACCCGTTGTCTTTCAGTACTCAGCCAGTCATATTCAGAGATAGTCAAGATGGAGAAGTTCAGGGTGACCCCAGAAACAGTGTTGCTTTTGGATCAAATATGGACAATCAGTTAGGACTGCCGATGATGTCTGATCCTTTGGTTACAAATAGCTTGATGGACTCAAGGAAAGATCTATCGAATAATATCTCATCAGGAGGCGGCATGCTTTCTAGCTATGAGAACCCCAAGGAAGCACAGCCAGAACTCTCATCATCAATGGTTTCCCAGTCATTTGGAGTTCCTGATATGGCCTTCAATTCAATTGATTCTACCATAAATGAAGGCAGCTTCATGAATAGAGGTGCCTGGGCCCCACCACCTCAAGTACCTCGTTTGCGGACATATACCAAGGTTGGTTAACTTACCAAATCTGTGTCCTACCTCACATAATGTTTTGAGTTGAGTACTAACTTTTTTGCCTCTATGCTCTCAAAGGTATACAAGCGTGGTGCTGTTGGAAGATCGATTGATATCGCACGTTACTCGGGCTACGAAGACCTTAAACAAGATTTAGCTCGTAGATTCGGTNCTTAGCTCGTAGATTTGGTATAGAGGGACAACTGGAGGACAGACAAAGAATAGGATGGAAGCTTGTGTATGTGGATCATGAGAATGATGTTCTGCTGGTTGGTGATGACCCTTGGGAGTAAGTTCTTGAACTTTGCTTCTATCTAATGTTGTATTTGCATTTTCGATTTGAGCAAGCAGCATATGCCGTTCTCTTGGAAGCCAAGACTTCGAACTGAACTACCTTAGAACCATACAACCTTTTATCCAATTATGTGCGTCCCGTGGAGACTTGATCAATGTAGCCTAAAGCTGTTTCTATAATCTTTGCCCGTTTCTTTTTCCGTGTGCGTATTCGTGGCATGCTGACTTACATACGTAATATGATACTTCAGGGAATTTGTGAACTGTGTCCGCTGCATTAAGATTCTTTCTCCGCAAGAAGTCCAGCAAATGAGCTTGGATGGGGATTTTGGGAATAGTCTCCAAAATCAAGCTTGTAGCAGTTCCGATGGGGGAAATGTAAATTAGCTGTGGCTTAAATTCCTTTCTTAGAAGCTGGAAATTTGTATAACTTTAGGTGTTTATTGATCAAGCTTGGTGGAAATGTGCCACCATTGGTTGTTCTTCTCTTTATACACGATGGAAAACGCAAAGCAGCTCTCTCCCTAGGATCTTGGTATAAGGACCTTTCCTTGGTTGAACAGGAGACAAGAACACAGGTTGGATTTGAGTGTGCTTGATCACCCTGTGTGATTGCACCTGTCCAATTAGAGGGTTAGCTCGTGTTGGAAGGGGGAACCTGGTCTAGCCTAGGTAACCATAGATAGAGCTGTACGATGTTTGCTACGAGAGTTTATCCAAATTTTCAATATGTATGGTGTAGCGTTGGAATGTATAGTTGTTTAGAATGTTCTCTGATTTTCCCCTCAATCTCTTAATGAAGTAAATTTCAGTAGCTGAGGTGAATAGTGTAAATTTTTGTTTCAGTTCATGTTATCCCTTTTCTCCCTTTCTCAGGTGTTCTGTTGTAAGATGGCTTCTGCACAAGAATAAGATTAACTTGAATAAATATACTTTATGATCAACACTCAAAAACAATTATTGTTTCTAAAGAAAGAAATTTTTCCTAGAATTATTGATACCCAAGAATCTGCAAATGTTTTGTGATGTGTAAAAATTCCAGTGTCAAAACCCGTGCAATTTGCTTTTAATATCCATTCTTTTTGTCTAGTTTTCAACTACTAACTACATCTGCTATTAATCACACTACTCTTTAGAAGAGGATCGAAGGCGTATTTGAAGATGACCAAATTTTGCTGCTCCAGGCGAAGAGCCTTCAAACATGTATGGCAAGAATCCAGTGGCAGCTTTGTATCTTCGTTGAATCTGCAGATAGAAAGATTAACGTTAATGCCAAAAAAAGAAAGATTTTGAACTATAAAAGAGCAAAGAGGGATTGTATAACAATAATAAAGCTGTAGAAAGGTACCTCAATAAGTTGTTCATTGCTTCTTAAACAGTTCCTCCCAATAACACAAACTGTTCCACCAGAACCTCCACCAGTAATCTTTGCCCCAAACAAAGTCCCGCCTTCAGAGTGCTGCATTTCTTGTACCAAGCTAACCAACCTATCTGTACCATTTGACCCAAGCCCACAAGCGCTGTAACTGAAATGACACTGCAATATGAGAAACACTTGGTCAGAAAACTTCTATACAGGTATTCAGATTGAGACAAAAAGAAGCAGTATAGCATATACCTGATACATCAACTCTCCAAGAGCAGATAGTTGATCATTGGAAGGTGCAGCTGATAATAATGCTTTAAAAGCCTGATAGCAATTGATACACATGTCAATGAATACGAGCAATCTAATAACAACAGGAGATAAAAAGTGAAATCTGACGTAAAGGACCAGAAACCTTCTTATTCAGACAAAGATGATTTGAAAAGGAAATTCAAATTATGGACCTTGACTCGGAAATTCTCATAGATGGGATGCCTAGTTGGTGCTCTCACAGCATAATTGCGCTCCTTATCAATTGTTGTTACAGAATCATCATGATCGAGATACTTCTCCACAAATTCCTGGCCAGATAAAGATTCCGGAAGTCTAGTTGCATAAGACGCCTCATATCTGAAATTAGAAAATATGTTAACCATAGTAAGCAAAACAGGAGAATAAAAGACGGAAATAAAAACTACATATGCATAACAAACCTATGAGGTGAGAGGTTGCACAGGTAATCCAGAGACGCTTCCGTTTCAAGTAGATCCTTGCTATTCTCATCAGCTTCATCAGGGTTGAACCCATTTATTTGCTGGGCAGAGGAAATGTTTGACAAGGAAGAGCGTAACTCTACCGACGCAGTGGACTTTATTATCTTCCTCCCTATAAAGGCACCAACTCTCACAGATTTGTAGTCTGAACCACCAACACTGCAGCAAACTCTCATAAGTACTGGAAGGAAAGAATGTAGACATAAGGCCAAAATGTATATCCTAATTTGGTAGAAATCAGTTATTCATTAGGCGGAGAAACTGGACCGCCTCCAGATAATTGGAGGGAAAGCGTGATTTTTAGTTTTGCACCTCCTGATGGACACTGCAGTCAGCGTTTTTCAATCTTGAAAGATACATGGTAAACTTGAAAAACATTGGGACCTATTGTGAACTGATCCTACAACAACAATAATAACATATCCAGTGTAATCACACGAGTAGGGTCCGGGGAGGGTAGTGTGTATGCAGCCTTACCCCTACCTTGTGAAGGTAGAGAGGCTGTTTCCGATAGACCCTCGGCTCAAGGAAAGCAAAATCACAGCAGTTTTCAAAAAGAAATACGGTAGGGGAGAAGCAAAAAGAAAGCAGTAACAACAGCAAGATAATAAGATAACTGGAGCACATGAAAACATGTGAACTGAACCTACATTTGGATATATTTTTGTTCTTCCTCCAAAGTTGAGAAAAAGCAAAAGTATTCTTGATCAACTCAGTGGAAAACATTCTTGAATTCGTCTATTTTAGAACTTTCTCCATTAAATAAATTCCATGGAAACTTTTAAATATGGCATGAACTGACGGTAATGCTTCACTTTAGATTGAAAACAAATTTGATGGAGATAAAAGACGGTTAAAAGGAAATACCCAGTGGGAAGTTTTACCTGTGTCGTATTCCAGAATCAATTCCCCAAAATCGGATGGTGGGTGGTATGTCAACAAGTCCTAGCACCTCAGCGGGCTAAAAGAAGAAGTGAGTGCTAATTCTGACATCGCGGTTGGTCCCAGTAACAATGTAACGCCTAGCATAAAGAGTTGCTGCTTACCTGACACACCATCGCGAGAAGCTTGTCGGCCTCTCCACATGTAGAAGCCATCTGATCCATCACCCCACAGGGAGCTCCAACAATATGATTCTCCACCTATTGAAGAGAATAAAACTTGAGATGGAGGGTAAGTTTTGCCAGTTGAAAAATCAGAACGAAAAATTTGGAAGAACAAGATGAGATAAGTATAAACACAACGTGCCTTTTGGCAAAGTAGAGCTAGATGTCGGGGGTCAATGTTCAATCCTGCAAAATGGAAAGAAATTTGTGCAATTCAGTATTCATTTAACATTAAAAAAAGAACCAGAAATTATTCATTGATTCCAACTTAAATCAGCCAGATCTTTCAAAGTTGGGATCTTTTACACAAATTTGGGAATCAGAATAACGGACTGCAAGAATTTTGCTAACTGCCCGCGCATTGTTCAAATTTAGCATCAATCTAAACAACTTGGCAATATAGGCATGTGAAACAAAATGGATAAAAGTTGTAGGAGACAGAGATCATCAAATTCCCAAAGTGACTGCTGAAAAATCATAAAGGATGTGACAGACATTTAAGTGTATTTGAGATAATGGTGTAGTTTGTGGACACAAATTCAGAATCATTAAAAAGGAAATATTTGTTGTTGTGGTGGAGCAGGGTATTCTGCAGATAAATGTAGTACCATGAGCAGCAGCAACAGCAGTCATACTGGCAACTTCTATAGCAGCAGAAGATGATACACCTTTGCCCTCCGGAACACCAGAACTTACCTGTGTTAACAGGTAATTGATATTTCAAAAAACTTTAGTTAGATGAACCAGAAAAGACAGGAAAGAGGCTAGTAAAGCTGTATGAATAGACCTTATTAGTTTATGTCTGACATGAATGGAAGCGTTAAGATAAACCACAGAAGCCTACATGAAATGTTAAAACAGAAAAGGTAATTTTTACATCCATTTAACTTGTGACTGGAACAGAAAATGGCCCTATCCAGAAAGTTTGTTAATGCTGATGGAATGAAGTATCACATGTCTGTAAACTGATTACAGTAACTTTAATTTGGAAAATAATTTGGCTCCGTACAAAATAGTCACCCTATCTAGATGTAAGGAATTAGCTTCACATTTGGCCATTCTTATTTTATTTGCAAATCCTAGTGGCCTACATCATACAATGAATTTCTAAAAACAGCTCATTAGAAGACAGTAACCATTTCCTTTTTCATCACTGGAAACATGCTTCATAGAACAACTAGTGCACATTCTTAGTTTCATTCAAACAGATAACTGCAATCTGTAGAAGACTTAAAATAAAAATTTGCAGAAGCTGTGAACACCTGAAAGGCTTACCAGAATGCTAATACTATCCTCAAAACGGATGCCTAATTCAGTCATCAGTACCAGAATCGTCCCAGCAACATATGCTGCCCACCTACAAAGGATGCTTCATATTTAAGAGCTGGTACCATCTAATTAAAAGCGAAAGAATGAAAATACAAGAGTTCACTTGCTTCTGGGCCGGGTCTCGGGCAAAATAATTGTATGCTTTCTCATATGTAATTGGCTGCCCGTCCTCCACAAAATCAGAAAGGTCCATATCAAAAGTTGGTCCACGATTACCTAATTCTGAGCCAAATGATACCTGGATTTGGATTCATCAACAGTAAGTCACAAACTTTCATGAGCTAAATAGACAATTAGATGTTGTAGCAGGCAAATGGTGTTAAAAGTACCACGAAAGAGGTTAAAATGCTAGCGAGCTAAGAAAATTTGTTTGCTCGAGTTTTTGTCGCAGATAGTATTTTTTATAAGGTAATATATTATTAATAAAGGTACCAAGATGGTACAAATACAACGGGCCAGCTACTAACACAAACAGATCTCCTTCCTACTTATCACCTGACTCCTCTAGAAAATCCATATAGTGTTCCAAATTTTCCATAACACTTCTTGTGTACCGGAAATACAGGTTCAAAACAGTTTCACATTTGGGGGCATTACCCTTCTAACTCCATACATATTTAGAAAGAGCTCCTACCATTGACTTGCCACTTGCAATGAAACAAGAGATGATCAACAGTTTTCTAAATCTCCTCCATATATATAGCATCTGTTACTTAGAATAATTCCTCTCTTTTGCAGGTTTTCCTGAGTTAAACAAGCTTCCCTTGCTTCCCGGATATGTACGTTAATGAACAGAAACCTTTTGACTTCCCAAATGCGTATTTAAGTTATACCCATTCATATACCTCCTCATTTTCGCTCAGAGCATCAAAAAAGGACAAAAGGAAAGAAAAAAGAACAAAAGAGTGATAATTTCAAGTTATCGAAAGAAAAGAAACTAGATGCTTCCTTTTCAGTATCTAGACTTGAAGCAACACAAGCTTCTTGCACGAGTAATAGAGACACTGACAGTTGGCTTGAGGATATACATGAATTAATGTTACATGGATTAACATCCGAAATTTATATGTTATTGTACTAAAGAGAAAGATAATGCTGGGGCAAACAGGTAAGTAGCTCAACAGCAGCAATGTGGAAACCACACATAACTCTAATACGGAGATTTCGACAAACTTCATACAAATGTGATGTATAAGATTGACACAAATTTACACATTTTAGCATCATTGGTGAAGAAATGTTACG